ACCTCGCACTTTCCCTTTCCCATCACTGTCAATGTATGAGTGAGCGCGCACTGGCTCCTTTCTCCTTGCTACAACGGAAGCGTTCAGCAGCAGCAGCAGCAGCCCAGAAAAGTGCCAGAAATCCCCAGAGCCCCCTCCTGCCTACCTTCGATAGCAAGAGCCAGGATCGCAGGCGGGCCTCGCCCACACACCCGCACGCAACGCGCACGCACTGCAGCTACACGAAGGTATTCCCCGGTTTAAGAACTTAACACTGGAGTTGCGAACCAAAACCTGGCTGTTGCGCGGGATTCTGGTTTCGAGCTTACAATGATTCAGAAGTTAATTCTAAGACGGGGTAATAAAGAGCAGCGATACAGTAGGGCAGGCTGGGATTGGAGGCTGGGTGAAGGTTTTTAAGATTAAGCCCCTTAGGACACCGGTGTTTCCCCTGCAAAACGGCATCCGAACATTCAAGTGTATTTATAGAAACATTTCTCCACCGACTTTAATGAGACTTCCTTTAAAAGTAAGCGCCCAAACAGTGTTAAAAGCTATGCTCTTTCTCCTTTACTTGCTCTACCCAGAGCTTCGCCTGGTCTTGGAGCCTGACAATATGGCATTTCGTGCGAATCGGTGCTTTAAGATCCAATGCACGCTTACTGGGAAATAAATGCCATAGAAATTAATGGACTTCCCGTGGCTTCGGAAGACAATGCCAGGATCAAAGGCAATCTCATTGACTTCACAGGAACACTGACCTCCTGCCTCCCTGGAACTCAGTTAAGCCACAGTAATTGGGCTTTAAGATTAATCTCCCACTTTAGGCACAGTCCTTGGAAATATGCCCCCATTGATGTCAATTTAGGACTGCAGCTTTTTCACCCTTGACTGGAACTCGTTTTTAACATTAGATTCCATCAGAAAATCAATAGGGCTCCTCTCCCAGGAAAATCGTTGAGGATCATGATGCCGAGTATTCAACACTCTTTACAACATACTGCTTGGATCACGCCGGAGGATCGGATTTTGAACGCCACTGCAGCCTTTGACTGCGTTCGAGCTCCAAATGCTTACTTTGAATTAGGAGACGCTTCAATCCCAAAACTTCTCGTTAACAAAGCATAATAATTCTATTAACATAACCTGTTAAGCCAAATTATCCCACGATTTAACCCTAAGGAGCTGGTTCACACAGCAAATTAAAATCTGGTGTGATTCGGTTTGCTTGGCCTTGTGTGAACGGAGTCTCTGTGCTGTAGAGTGACTTCCTATTTACTCCAGAATCGCTCTATTATGGTCTGGTGGGGGGGGGGGGGAACAACCTTCTGTGGGCTCCACCTCCTCATATCTCAATGGGCCATGTCAGAAGCCTTATGCCCATTTACCTGGACCCAACTCTGGTGATTTGATTTTAAACACATTTACTCTGCCTTGCCAGGCATTTTGCTTTAAATAGAGCCTCACTGACCTTCACCTTCCATTCCCCCAGGAAGAGTTGGATCTATGTACATTCATCTGCATACCTCCCTGTTTGCATTTCTCCCGTGTGTTTATCTGCATCAATCCATGATACATATCATATTGTATGCCATGTATAATATATGCACACCATTTATTTTTTAAAAAAGTCTGACAGGGGGGGGGGGAAGGGACTTGCCTCTGTGCCATTTACTGAACGGTGGCAACGCATCTACATATTGTAGGTAAGACACATAATAGAGCGAATGTGTTCTGTTCTTGCAGAGAAGGGAATATTTACCCATCCAGTCTGCCTTCAGGTGTGTTTATGTATGTTATCACACCTGTACTCAATTCCTGAGTCCCCACATCTTCTCTCTGTGGTGCGCATTACAGTACATTTTACACAAGAAAATGATGGTGACAGAAATTCCAGGGTTCAAGTTCTTACTATTAATCACCGCAGCTTAAGCACAATAACAACTAAGCCAGACTTTTTTTAAAAAAAATTCCTCCTCCACCCACTTTCTGCCATCTTTCGTTT